AAGTGTAATATGATTGCAATCTGTACATCAAAAAATAAGACTGATAGATGAACCTACATGTGATAAAGTTGGTATAACAAAAACAGAATTTAAGGAAAGAGTAGGAAATACTCTGGAATTAGTAGGTATACATAAGAACTTTCTCAATGGAACCCAGCAGCAACAGAACTAAGAGATAGCATAGATAAATGGGACTTTCATAAAACTAAAAAGCTTCTGCTCAACAAAAGAAATGGTCTCTAAACTGAAGAGAACACCCACAGAGTGGAAGAAAATATTTGCCAGCTACACATCAGACAAAGGACTGATAACCAGAATATACAGGGAACTTAAAAAACTAAATTCTCCCAAAACTAATGAACCAATAAAGAAATGGACAAGTGAACTAAATAGAACTTTCTCAAAAGAAGAAATTCAAATAGCCAAAAAACACATGAAAAAATGCTCACTATCTCTAGCAATAAAGGAAATGCAAATTAACACCACACTAAGATTCCACCTCACCCCTGTTAGAATAGCCATCATTAGCAACACCACTAACAACAGGTGTTGGCGAGGATATGGGGAAAAAGGAACCCTCTTACACTGCTGGTGGGAATGTAAACTAGTACAACCATTCTGGAAAAAAATTTGGAGGCTACTTAAAAATCTAAACATTGATCTACCATGTGATCCAGCAATACCACTCTTGGGGATATACCCAAAAGACTGTGACACAGATTACTCCAGAGGCACCTGCACACCCATGTTTATTGCAGCACTATTCACAATAACCAAGTTATGGAAACAACCAAGATGCCCCACTACTGACGAATGGATTAAGAAAATGTGGTATCTATACACAATGGAATTTTATGCAGCCATGAAGAAGAACAAAATGTTATCATTAGCTGGTAAATGGACGGAATTGGAGAACATCATTCTGAGTGAGGTTAGCCTGGCCCAAAAGACCAAAAATCGTATGTTCTCCCTCATATGTGGACATTCGATCAAGGGCAAACACAAGGGGATTGGACTTTGATCACATGATAAAAGCGAGAGCACACAAGGGAGATATGAGGATAGGTAAGACACCTAAAAAACTAGATAGCATTTGTTGCCCTCAACACAGAGAAACTAAAGCAGATACTTTAAAGCAACTGAGGCCAATAGGAGAAGGGGACCAGGAACTAGAGAAAAGGTTAGATCAAGAAGAATTAACCTAGAAGGTAACATACATACAGGAAATCAATGTGAGTCAACTCCCTGTATAGCTATCCTTATCTCAACTAGCAAAAACCCTTGTTCCTTCCTATTATTGCTTATACTCTCTCTACAACAAAATTAGAGATAAGGGCAAAATAGTTTCAGCCAGGTATCAAGGGGGTGGGGGGGAGAGGAAAGGGGCAGGGGGAGTAAGGGAGGGGGTGGGAGGAAGGGGGAGAAATGACCCAAACATTGTATGCACATATGAATAAAAAATAATTTAGGTTGTAGATCTACAATTGTTCACTGTGTAATTCTTCAAACTATGCTGTATGTTTGAAATTTTGCCTAATGTAATATTGGAAAATTATAATAGCAGAAGGCAATTTTCTTGACATGAGGAAAGAATATGCTTGAGATTTCAAGGACTATGGCAACAAGACCAAGAAATACCTACTATTAATAAAGTTTTCTGCCTCCATTGTCATCTGTACATCCCCTAAACCTCTCACCTATATCACAAAAACCTGCCAAGGCAGAATATAGTCCCTTGGGAAAGGAGCTCTGGCGGGCAAGCAGGCATCGGACCCCATCTGACACTAGAGTGATCACCACAGGAGCCATCTAGGGAAGGAGAACAGAAATTAAGACACTAGCGCTTTGGGGCCTGCTAATGAGCAGAAGGAATGGGTGATTAAGGAAGTCTTTTGATTGTGCAGGCTTCCTTTCCAGGACAGAATAGTGTGCAGCCTTCTTGGATACTGTCCCCTTAAAGCATTGCTTACCTGTGGATAATATATGATCTTACTGGAAGGGCACACACGCTTGCTGCCAGCCATATTCTTCTTGGTGGGCTGCCCACTTCTGCTGCAGAACTGATGATTAGCATGCCAACGGAGAAGAGCCTGAGCCTAGGAATACAAAGACAGGTCTGGTTTCATTTGGAGAAAATGTGGGGCTCATCCATAATGGCACGGGGGCTAGTATTGAGAGTAACTCACAGGAAAATGTCATCCCCTTTCTGGCTCACCTACTTTAAGTAGGTACCAACTGCTTAAACAGTAAGAAAAGGAAACTATCTGAGCATATTCTCTTAGCATCAGAAATTTAAAAGAAAGCATATTGTTTTATTTTGTGGTGCTAGGGATTTATCCCCAGGGCTTGTGTATGTTAGGCAAGTGCTCTACTACTGAGCTACATTCCCAGACCAAAAGAAAACATTTAAAACTGTGTAATTATTTAAAACAAAATATATAAGCTATTACAATAAGCACCTATGCACTCATGACCTAGCTTAAAAAGAAAACATCTCTGTTATTGTTGAATACTTCACAAGTATCCCTCCTCAATAAAGTTGGAAATTTTTAAATACTGTTTTTATGGAGAAATCAACTATACTGGAACTTTTTTTTATTTTAGTGTTCTGTTGCTGAATAACCCTACAATTTAGTGACTTAAAACAGCAATAATTTTTTTAATCTTTCATAGCTTTCATAGGTCTCACAGAATGTGGAAGTGTCTGTTGAAGGTATCTTCTTGTATAGTCAGTGGTCAGAGAGGTGATTTTATTTTATTTATTTATTTAGGGGTTTGTTTTTTTTTTTCTTGCAGTACTGGGGTTTGAACTCTTCTTGCAACTAAAAAAAGTTTAGGGGTTTCTCTTTGATTTAAAATGAACAATCAGAACACCACCAACCAAGGACGAATCACTAAAGCAATATAAAATTATTTCTCATACAGAAAAATACAATGATAGGGCTGGTGGAGTGGCTCAAGTGGTAGAGTGCCAGCCTAGCAAGCATGAGGCCCTGAGTTCAAACCACAGTACCACCAAAAAAAAAAAAAAAAAAAAAAAAGAAAGAAAAAAAAAAGAAAAATTCAATGATGCAAGTCATGTTGTGGGTCGTTTTATGTTTGTGAGGCTGGCTGGGCACTGGTGTGGCTCATGCCTGTAATCCTAGGTACTCAGGAGGCAGAGATAAGGAGGATTGTGGTTGGAAGCCAGCTGGGGCAAATAGTTCACAAACCCCTATCTTGAAAAAGCCTATCAAAAAAAAAGTGGTGGGGGGCAGCTGGTTGAGTGGCTCAAGTGTAGCCCCTGAATTCAAGCCTCAGTACTGAAAAAAAAAAATGTTTGTGAAGCTGATAGACCTTATTGCCATACATCTACATGTCCTTTTGGAGAAAATAGTTTTGAGAGCAATTCTGGCAAAAGCAAGGGCAAAACAAGGAAAATAAGCAATCTTCCTACAGCACATTGTCCTGCCAAGGTTTATAGGCAGGACTATGATCTACAAAAGAAGAAATCAAATGTCAATCTAGCTTTGTGTATCACACATGGATTTGCCCATATACTCAATTTTATTAAATTTCCTACAGAACTGAGAAATCAGAATCTACCGTGAATAGCAAGGAGGAATCCATCGAGTTCAGCTGAAAAATAGCCTTTCTCAGCTCAATGAAAGACCCCTTGAGCTCTGTCTCCATTTCAGGTTTTGGTAAGGAAGCTAGAAAATTAGAAAAGAGAATAAAACTAAACAAATGTCAAACTTTGCTCCTGGACCCCTCTCCAGGTCCATCTTGTTAGAGCAGTGTTTCCCAAACTTGCCTGATAAGACTCAACTGGGGCATTTAAAAAATATACAGTTCTCAAACTCCTACCTGGAGATTCTGAAGCAGCATGTGTGCAATAAGGCCCAGAATTTTTTTTTTAAAACAAGTACCAGGTGACTCGTAGGCCAGTTTGGGAAACTGTATATACAGCACAGTATTTCTCAAGATCCTCATTAGGGCAATAAAGTTATTTACTTTAGCCACACACTATCCCTAGAAAAGAGATGAAATGGGACCTCTAAGCTCCTATCTGAACCTCATGCCAGTATCACTGCATGTACACCTAGGCCCTTTGAGAGAGGAAAGCATGACAGCCATGAACCAAAGCCAAGTGATTCCCAAATGCAGGTTTAAGACCCCAGAGCTAGTTTATGATAACATCTTTATTTCCCTGGATTGGTAAGGGAAATAAGAATGGTGTCATGATTTTGTTTTATTTTGGTGTTTGTTGAGAAAGGGTCTCACTTTGTTGCCCAAGGTGGCTGTAAATTCACAATCCTCCTGTGTCAGCCTCCCAAATGTTGGTATTACAGATGTGCACTACCATTCCTAGTTCTAGTGTCATGAATTTTAAACCATTTATGAAATATTTAAGGCAGAAAATGTGTGTAGAATACATATATGTATACAGTGAAAATGATAGCAAAGTTTATTAGGAAAGAAATTTAGTATAACAGAATAAAAGTAGGGAGAAATGGGGGTAAAGATTCTTAAAATGGCCTTTATTTTCTTTCTTCTCTTTCTCTTTCTCTCTCTGTTTTTCTCTTTTTTTTTTGGTGTTACTGGGGTTTTGAACTCAGGCCTCATGCTTGCTAGGCAGACACTCAACCACTTAAGCTGTGCCTTGGCCCTTTTGCTTTAGTTACTTATCAGCTAGGATCTCCTGCTTTTTCCTGGGCCTGTCTGGACTGCAGTCCTCCTACTTAAGCCTCTTCTGGAGTTGGGATGACAGGAGTGTACCACAGCTTTTTTGGTTGAGACAGGGTCTCATTAACTTTTTGCACAGGCTTGCCTCGAATCACAGTCCTCCCTATATCTGCCTCCAAGTAGCTGGGATTATAGACACAAGCCACTGGGCCTGGCCCTTTATTTTCTTTTGAATGATATTAGTAAATAATAGTATTTTTATATCCTTACTTTAAAAAAAAATAGAAAGTTGATAATATTTTTGGATTCCTAAAACTTTCTTTGAAGTGGTATTATGTGAAATCCCAAAGTATGAGAACTTCTGGGAAGTAACCATGAGAAATAGTGTTATGTACCATATATGGAAGAGGAGATATTCAGACCTAGATCCAGAGCAAACCATGCTTCATGCTGGTCAGAGCATCCGATCAGCACGGAATCTTCTATTCTTTGTGCATCCTGTCCAAACTTACCCAGGAGCCTTTTCAACTCTAAAACACAGAAAAGAGAATAGAGAAAAACAAAAAATAAGGATTTCAATCACATTGACCCAGTCTTATTAGACTTACAGGAAATCATCTACTTCAATACAAATGAAGTATACAGTTTGTTCCTTGGTATCTGTGGGGGACTGGTTACAGAACACCTCTCAGACACCAAAATGTGCAGATGCTCAAGTCCGTTATATAAAATGGTACAGTATTTGCCCATGACCTATGCACATCCTGCCATATACTTTAAATCATCTTAGATTACTTATAACACCTAAGAACAATGCAACTATATAAATAGCTGTTATACTCTGTTGTTTAGAGAATAATGACAAGAATAAAAGTCTGTCCATGTTTTGTACAGATGCAATTTTTTTCCAGTATTTTCAACCTACAGTTGGTTGAGTCTGAGGATATGGAGGCCACCTGTACTTGACTTAAAGTCACTGTCCTGCGCTAATTAGCTGGGTAACTTTGGTCTAATCACTTAACCACTCTTGGCGTCCGTTTTCTCATCAGCAATATGAGGAGTTTTTACCAAAGAAGGAATTCTATCTGTGCAACTCTTGATTATTCTATGATTGTTTAAAGGAAGGAACATATGCCCTCATTCAGAAGGTACATGACAATTATAAAGGCATTGAAAAAGATAAATACTACCATAACGTGGTAGAGACCAATCCAGTTCTATAATTGGCTTCCAAATTGTGTTGCTTTCATGGCACAAAGTGGAATACTCATTTGAGATCATGGTCTGTAAACGGTTAAGTGCTGCATAGGAAGAAAATCTATTTTGTGCATGAAGGACTCTTATATGTTCATTATACAACATAGCACTGATAAGTCTCTAAATATGTTTAGTGGCTTCTAATGGGCTCCTTATATTTTTCTGCATTGCTGGAAACTACCTATCCAAGTACTTCAACATCTGACCCATGAGGGAAATTCACTGGCAATGTATTTAGAGGTTAGTATATAATGACTAACTATGTATCAATATAAAACTGAAAGTTACTATTTAAATACCAAATCCAAGCTGGCCACAATAGCATGCACATGTAGTTCCAGCTACACAGGAGGCTGAGGTAGGAGTGTTGGGGTACTTTAACTTGCAGCCTACCTAGCCTAGAAATCAGCTATAACTGGCATGACCCTTGGGTAACCTCGTGAAGAGGAAGATAGCCTTGAAACAGGATTGTAAAACATGGTAAACTGTCAATTAAAAGCTGTAACCTCAGACAGAGCTGTGAGGAATTGCTCATTAGAGCCATGCAAAAGTTTGGGACCGAGATGAAAGGCACCATGCAGAGATAAGCACCCATTTCTGCCTTTCTTTGTCTCCACTTGTAAATAAACTTTCCAAAGCAGGACTCCCCTGCTGTTCTTATCTAAACCTTAGGTTTCTATTCCACTACTAGCCCCTAATTTATGGGAGAACACACTCCTTGTAACCTGATAAGTAAACCTCTGGTGTTTCCCCAGTTCCCAATAAATAATATTACCCCACCACCAGGATGTGGGCAAGATCAGGATGTGGGCAAGATCAGGAAAATGTGACCCCAGGGACATGAGGAATTCCTATGTGATGATGATTGATGCTTTAAAGAGTATAAGACCTACTTAAACTTTGCTCTCAGGGTCCTTGTTGAAACCTGCATCAGGCGGATGCTCGGACCCTAGCCAGCTAGAAATAAACCTTGCCTTGTGACTTCCTTTGTCTCGAGTGTCCTTTGTCCTCTCAGAAGGTGGCCGGCCTCATACCCTAACAGCTGGAGGCCCCAGCGAGATCAGTACCTCCCTGAGAGGAACAAACAGCCTCCGATACCGAGGTTTAATTGGGAAAGACCACGGAAGGAGGATTGGCCACCTCCGTTTGGAGGGACTTAGAGTCCCCGTCTGAATTTGGTAGAGAATTCTCATTGAGTGGAAGGAAGGGGTTACAGCCCTGGAGGCTTCACTATTGGAAGTCGTGGGAGACATCCCCGACAGTCAGGAACCGTGCCGGCGTCCTCAGTGGACACCGTTTGGGCGGTCTTTGGGTAAGGATCCTGAGTCTGGTGTGAATGGAAGTGCGCCTGTGAGAGTAGTCTGGTTGACCAGCTGGTACTTGTGTATGTTGGAGAGTCCTGTGCGAATTTGTTTGTCTGGTGGAATTGTCTCTTTTGTTCTTTGTTGTTTCCTTTGTCCATCTCTTCTGATCATCATGGGACAGGCCCAGGTAACTCCTAAGACCCTTCTTCTGAGTCATTTTTCAGAAATCCGCGCTAAGGGACACAATTATGGCGTGGAAATTAAGAAAGGTAAGTTTGATGCCCTTTGCTCAGTGGAATGGCCAACCTTTAGTGTAGGCTGGCCCCCTTAGGGTACCTTTTCCTTGAACACAATTAAGAAGGTCTGCAATGTCATTAGTAAACCTGGTCTTCATGGCCACCCTGATCAATATCCCTATATCCTTATGTGGCAGACCTTAGTAGAGGACCCACCCCCTGGCTGCAGCCGTTTACCCATGAGGCACCTACAGACTGGCCCACGATACTGGACATGTTGGGGAATGCCCCCACTCCTGTTAATTCCCCTAAGAAGCCTATTCTGCAGGAAGAACCAATTTCCCATCCGTCCTTGATAGACTTAGATTCTGAGGCGAGCCCCCCGCCATATGCCGCTGCTGTGCCACTCCAGCCAGAGGCAGCTGCCCCCCCCCGAACCTCCCCATTCATCAGCCTCCCCGTCTGCACCCCCCGCCCCAGTCTCTGGACCGGCGAAGGGACTCAGGCCCCGTAGGCAGTGAGAAGAAATTCCAGAGGAGGAGCCCTCCTCCACTTCCACTGCCCCCCCATCCTCCCAGTGCAGGCTCTGGGCAATGCTGGTCCTGACAGGGGATGCGTCTATCAGTATTGTCCCTTTTCAAGTAGTGACCTGTACAACTGGAAAGCCCAGAATCCTCCTTTTTCTGAGGATCCTAGAGGCCTGACCGATCTGTTTGAGTCCATTTTACATATTCATAGTCCTACATGGGATGACTGTCAGCTCCTTAAGACTCTATTCACCACTGAGGAACGGGAGCGGATTCTCACTGAAGCCAGAAAAAATGTCCCCAGCAATGACGGATGACCGACTACCCTGCCAAACCTGATTGATGACCGTTTTCCCTTTAACAGACCCGATTGGGACTATGGGAATGCAGAAGGTAGGGAGCGTCTCTGGGTCTACTGCCAGACTCTTATGGCAGGCCTCCGGGCGGCAGCTCGCCGCCCTACCAATCTGGCTAAGGTAAAGACGGTAGTGCAGGGGGAGAATGAAAGCCCGGTCACATTCCTGGAACGCCTTTTCGATGCATACAGACAGTATACCCCCCTAGATCCACTAGCGGAGGTGAATCAGTCAGCCGTGATAATGTCCTTCATAAATCAGGCTGCCCTTGAAATTAGGAAGAAACTATATAAGCAGGAAGGACTTGGGGAAATGACTATCCGGGATCTGATGAAAGTAGCCGAAAAAGTTTATAACACCCGAGAAACCCCGGAAGAGCGAGAGGATAGAATCAGGAAGGAAAATCAGGAACTACAAGAAAGGATTCGGAGGGAGGACAAGGGACACCAGAGTAAGGAAAACAAGAAACAGCAGAAGGAAATGGCTAAAATAGTGCTAGCAGGGGTCCAAGGTTTGGCTGGACTGGGCTCTGGACGGACTGGCCCCCCCCCATCCCCGAAGAGAACAGCCCCGGTTAGGCCAGGGACAATGTGCCTATTGTAAGGAATATGGACACTGGAAGAGAGAATGTCCCAAGCTCCAGGGTCGCTTGAGGCCAAACAGCAGGCCCAACAATGACACCCGGGTCCTGTTAACTGAATTGGACAATGACTAGAGGGGACGGGACTCAGAACCCCTCCCTGAGTCTTGGGTACCCATATATGTGGAGGGAAAGCCCGTGAGATGCATGGTGGACACAGGGGCTCAATATTCAGTTCTAAATAAACCTACTGGGCCACTGTCTCAGAAAATTAGTCTCGTGCAAGGAGCCACTGCTCCAAGGCATATCAATGGACTAGCAAGCATCAGGTGGATTTGGGCCGGCATCAGGTGACCCATTCCTTTTTGGTCATTCCTGAATGCCCTGCCCCCCTTCTGGGGTGCGATCTGCTAACTAAGGTGAGGGCTCACATTCACTTTGAGCCGGATGGAATCAAAGTGATGGATGGACGAGGACAGCCCCTCCAAGTCTTGACTGTATCTCTCGAGGATGAACATCGCTGTTCATCCCCCGAAACCTATTGAGTGGTCCCCTGAAATGACTTATTGGATTCAAACCTTCCCCCAGGCTTGGGCAGAAATAACAGGTGTGGGGCTGGCAAAACATCAAGCTCCGGTAATGGTAGAAATCAAGGCTTTGGTTCAGCCCATCCAAGACCGTCAGTATCCCATGTCTCCCGAGGCATGGATGGGGATTGCCCCTCACATTAACCGTCTCCTGGAGGCCGGAATATTATGGCCCTGCCGTTCTGCTTGGAACACTCCACTCCTCCCCGTTAAGAAACCCGGGGGAAAAGACTATAGGCCAGTCCAAGATTTAAGGGAAGTAAATAAGAGGGTCGAGGACATCCACGCCACAGTCCCCAACCCCTATACCTTGCTGAGCCATTTGCACCCTTCCCATGTTTGGTATACCACTTTGGACTTGAAAGATGCTTTTTTTAGCATAGCCCTGGCACCCAACAGTCAACACATTTTTGCCTTCAAATGGCATGATGAAAATACAGGAACCCCAGGACAGTTAACATAGACTAGACTCCCACAGGGTTTCAAAAACTCCCCTACTCTGCTCAACGAGGCTCTTAATCAGGATCTGGACTCATATCACCGGAGCCACAGTTTTGTCACACTTTTGCAGTATGTAGATGACTTGCTTCTGGCAGCTGCATCTGAAGCTGAATGCCGGAAAGCCACTGGAGACCTCCTCCAGGAGCTGGGGAAATTGGGCTATTGGGCCAGTGCAAAGAAGG